GCACACTTTTGGAGAGAATAGGTTGTTTGCCTTGTAGAATGTTCACTTTCTGGATTTGCCTGGTTGTTTCTTTGTGGTGTCGTTTAACTTATGACACCCCTTTACTCCCCACCGCCCCATATTTCTGTTAGACCTGAAGGCCTGCTTGGATCAGGCAGAGTGTTTTGCTTCCCCTTCACCCCGATGCAGGTACACTGTGCTCTTTACCTTGTTTCCCGTTGGGGTGCACCGGGATCTCGTTGGACTCTATGACAGCTGCAGGCTGCGGCTCAGGAAGGGCTGCAGAACATGAGAGGTCTTGATGCCCGGTCCACACCTGACCTGCGAGGTTCCTTGGTTCCTGGTAGTTTAGACAACAGATGGCGCTAGTGCTCCTTTTTTTTCTTTCCAGTTTATGGTAATTTTAATGAGTGTATTATTTCTTTGAGTGTTATTTGGCAAACTGGTTAACCTTCCCTCTGTGATTAAGAATTAGTTGTATAATTAGTAAATATGTAGCCTGTTTCTCGGTTCTATTTGTGGGAATTTGAAGCTTACTCAAGAAAATAACCAGAAGTTTAAAAAGATAAAATTGTGCAAAGTGTCACTAGTCTGCTTGAACTACAGAATAAAGATAGTACATTTGTAACTTACTTATTGTGCTAGTGGGTTTTTAGCGTATAGAAAATATTTGACTCTTTCAAATAAAATGGAACTTAAAATTATTGGGGTGTTTTCTTCTAAAATTGATAATCTATAGCCGCCACGCTGATGCTTATGTTTGTCTAGAACTTAATATTTCATATTGCTTCCTTGTCTGCCGTCTATAAGATATCATAAGTAATTAACCACGTGAATCAGATTGTCTGTCTGCATCATTTTAAAGATTTTAAAAAAAGCACCTTAGAAGATTATATCATCTATTTATGTACTTCTGTTACATAAAATAAAGCAGTTCTTTGATAGTCAATGGCAGGTTGATATAAACTATTTCTTTGAATACTTTTGAGAAATTATAAGTTGTGTTTCAGGAAAGGGAACATTTTTCTATATTATTTTTGTCTCCCAATATTATTTTCTTCTTAGACATTGGGGTCCTTCAGTGATAGGTCACTTTCAAGCCCGGGGTCCTGCCACAATTCAGAATCTGTCCCTCCTGTACCTCCTTGCCCCTCCCCCCTTTTTTTAAAATAGGAAAAACATTTCTCAGATATTGGATATATTTTTTTTTCTCTAATTTTATCAACATTGGCACATTAGTCATTAATTGGTAGACAGGTATTTGGGAGCATTTAAGATATCTAGGCCTGTACACCGTGCCAAAAATTATTTTTCTTTTCCTCCTGCTTTCCTGAGATTACTGCCTATTTGCAGCTTCTCAACTCCCAGGCCTGGCGGAAGTGGGAGACGCTTCTAGAAATGGAGGAGGGGGGCCAGGCTCCCACCTGGGCTGAGTGGGCCTCGCCCTGCTCACAGGCTGCACCCTTCCTTCCCTCTGGACCCAAGAGCCACACTTGGGGACCTTTTTTTTTATTTTTGAATTTTTATGAGTTTATTTGAGCCAAAATGAGGACATATGGCTGGCAGCAAGATCTCGAATGCTTCCCCTGGGGATCGCCTTTGGTGCGTCCACTATACACTGCGGGTCACCTAGTGGTCAATAGCTCTGTGGTAAAGCCACCAGCCTGCAGTGCACAGTCTTAACTACCCGTTTCAAACTGTTTCACATCAGGACCGACAGAAGCTAATACTAACTCAGCTAGTGTTTCAGATGGTAACTCACCTAGTCTGTGGCGGGACAACCCCGAGCCAGAACCAGCAGTGAAGCAGAAAGGTAAGGACGGCTTTTTCACTCCTTTCCTGGGGCGCTGAGTCCCCCGACGCGGTGGGCATGCCCTGTGGGCATCTCCCTTTTTGGGGTCCTGTCAGAGCTGTGGCTCACACGGGGCTCTGTCCTTAGCTTCATACGCCAGGCCTGGACCTGGCCATGACTTCCTTTCTCGGCTACATAAACGAGAGCGGAATATTCTAGTCGTTGCTGATAGACCAGCCTGTCCCGTGTCCTGGGAGTTTTTCCGGAGGGAGGTAAAGTGGCAGACCCTGGAGCGTAGGAATGACCCTGAAGCCAGCCTCAGCCACTGCTGGGCTTCCCACAGGCCAAGCACACTCCGCTGATTTCATGTTCAAAGATGACTTTCATCAGCTCACAACACTGTCATCAGCTCACAACACTCTCATGACCATGGTTTTCTGTCTGTAATGTTCTTTCAGTGTCTTAAGTTGCACCTGGTTAGTCTCTGCTTTTGGCATAGTTTTCTTAGCATTTTAAAAAAAGTTGTGATGAAATGCACATTCTGCATTTGTCTTCTAAGGCCTGGAGTTTCTAACAGGCTAGAGGAGTGCCAGGGCCTCCTCGAGTGTCGTGCCCCAGAAACAGGGCTGTGCGGGCCGGTTGCTGGGTGGCCTGGGGCTGCTGGGGCTGGTGTGGCCGGGAGGGGTGAGTGGGGCTGACATTTGTCCATTTGCTCAAACAGAAAACACCTGTTGGAGGCCTAGTGTGACAGGCCCTGGGCAGTGAGTGTGTTAGTGTGCCCAGAGTGGACAAAGGACAGCGGTGTCAGGCCCTGGGCAGTGAGTGTGTGAGTGTGCACAAAGCGGACTGAGGACAGTGGTGTCAGGCCTTGGGCAGTGAGTGTGTGAGTGTGCACAAAGCGGACTGGGGACAGCGGTGTCAGGCCCTGGGCAGTGAGTGTGGTAGTGTGCACAAAGCGGACTGAGGACAGCGGGGTCAGGCCCCGGGCAGTGAGTGTGTGAGTGTGCACAAAGTGGACTGGGGACAGCGGTGTCAGGCCCTGGGCAGTGAGTGTGTGAGTGTGCACAAAGCGGACTGAGGACAGTGGTGTCAGGCCTCGGGCAGTGAGTGTGTGAGTGTGCACAGAGCGGACTGAGGACAGTGGTGTGCACCAGAGCTGGAAGGGACTTGGCCACCGGGTCGGGGACAGCCTGTGGGTAGGAGGAGGACATGGGCCGGCCACCAGGAACCTCGAAGCACAGAGGGCCATTGGGGGACAGGATCATCGGGACGTGCTCCCACTAGGAGTCGTGGCCATATGGGAGTTTAGCAGCAGGGAGCCATGATGCTTTCAGGAGTGGCTTAGTCACACCGCGTCATGGGACTGAAATTGCCATGTGCACGTTCTCACACCTTGGTGTCATCTAGAGCAGCGGTTCTCAACCTGTGGGTCGCGACCCCTTTGGGGGTCTAACGACTCTTTCACAGGAGTCGCCTAAGACCATTGGAGAACACATATATAATTACATACTGTTTTTGTGATTTATCTCTATGCTTTAATTTTGGTCAATTTGTAACAATGAAAATACATCCTGCATATCAGATATTTACATTACGATTCATAACAGTAGCAACATTACAGTTATGAAGTAGCAATGAAAATAAACTTATGGTTGGGGGTCACCACAACATGAGGAAGTGTTTTAAAGGGTCACGGCATTAGGAAGGTTGAGAACCGCTGGTCTAGAGCCACATTCTCCAGGCCCCTCTTAACCGCCCCTCAAGTTCCTCGGGCCCCCCTGGTCACCAGGCCTGTCCTGTGCTCTCACTCTGTGGGGTCCTGTGGGGCCTCCCGGTTCCCGCTGCCCCTGGGGCACTGTTGCTGTGGCTCTGCGTGGTGTTCCATAGTCAGTGGAGAGTCAAGTCCTCCTGCGGGTGGACAGAGCAGGGGGCCGAGAGTGCTCTTCACCCTGCGTTGGCCTGTGGGTCCTCCCAGTGACCCAGGGGTGTGCAGTTTCAGCTCTTCTGCACATGTGTTCGTGCATTCTCAGAGTAACACAAAAAAGGATGACCCACCTATGGTGTGGGTTGAACCCACCCACCCTACAACCCTATAGTGCTTCTCTCAGCTACCTGTGCCCTGAGCAACACTTGAAGGAAAAGGACCCCGGTGACAAGTGCAAAGGTTGCTCCTGTGGAGCTTGAGAAAGTTTCTTCTAATTTAGGAGCTGGTGGAAAAGTCCTGACTGACCAGTTGTGGGAGGCTGGTTGCTTGGTCTCACCCGAGTCCTAACCGTGGCTGGCGGTTCCTTCGAGGAATGGCCTAGACCCGTACATTTGGAGTCAGTCAGTGTTTGTCCTATGTCACACTTTCTTCATACCAGTTTCCTGTTATAACATGTTATGAGTCATAGTTTTCTTTGTTCTTTGTTTTTCTATCCTTGAAAACAAAATAGTGATAGTGACTAGAAAAGAAGTTTTGAAGAAATGACCATTTTCCCCCTAATAAAACCCAAATTGTTTATTATGTATTTTTCTCTAATACTGTTCTGCTTTTTTTGTATACCGAGGTTTACTAACGCAAAAGTGAATTTCTGATGTGTTCTTTTTCTTCTTTTCAGGTGATTCCCCTAGTGTTTCAGGTAAGGAATGGCGCTGAGTGCTCGGTATGAATTGTGTGTACACGTGTGTACAGATGCAGACATGCTCTCAGATTTATGTCTTACAGGTGTGTCAGTAAAACACGTCTCCACTATCCCAATTTAAGATTTAATCTGCATGTTTGATGTGTCAAAAATACATTTCAAGCCCTAGCCTGTTCGGCTCAGTGAGTAGAGCGTCGGCCTTTAGACTGAAGGGTCCCAGGTTTGATTCCAGTCAAGGGCACATGCCTGGATTGCGGGCTTGATCCCCAGTAGGGGGCGTACAGGAGGCAGCCAATCAATGATTCTCTCTCATCACTGATGTTTCTATCTCTCCCTCTTGTTTCCTCTCTGAAATCAATAAAAGTATATTAAAAAAACATTTCAAAGGATTTCTTTCCAAAGTATAAAGTATATTTTCAATATTCAAATTCTGATGGGTTTTCACTTTTACTTTAAATAGTGGAGTAAATGTAATTGTCTTAATAGTTTGGACTTGTTATTTACAGATTAAATCATTTTATCAAAGTGAAGACAATTTTGTTCAGATTATAAATATAATATGGTGTACTCAAAGTAGAAAATTTTTAAAATGAAGAAAATGAAAAGCACTGGGGATTCCACTGCTCACAGCTTAAATGAAGACCTTCTAGAACCCCATGTATGGACATGCAATTATTAGATGTATCGTTGTACTCTGCTGGTTACATGGTAAAATGACGGCACTGTTTACACTAAAAGGTCTTGCATGTGGCGATGCCGTATTTACCAGATTGCCTGTTGTTAGTCACTAGTGGTGACGGGAGCCTTCTGGCACATGTGTTATTTAACGTGTCCATTTCTTTAGGTTGTATTTTCTTTAAGTTAAAGTGCTGAATTGATTGATCTACCTTTTTAGTTTTGTTTCTGGAGGAGTTGAGTCAGGGTTGGAGAGAGCCCATTTCCCTGGTCTTTACCAGAGTTAGATGCCAAGTGTCTGTTTTATCTTCATCAGGATGATGGATGAGAAAGCTCATTTATATTTGCAATTACTTGGTTACTGTCTTCTCCAGTAATGTATCCGTTGTTTCTGTTCCTTCCTTTGCAAACTGCTGACTGGGGTGCCGTCCCCGCAGAAGGAGAAGCAGGACCCATCAGCCAGGAGAAGTCAGAGGTGCCCGCGAACGCTGAGGTCCCCCCCGAGCTCCCGTCCGGCGCCAGGTCTGTGCTCCCCCCATGCGGAGCTGACACACTCCTCTGTATCTCCTGCAGTTCGTGTAATGCTTGAGCTTAATTCTGAGGAGACATTTGTACTAAGAAGCAAAAACCGTGTATTTTATTTAGTCTTCCTGTACCTGGGTGACAACTAACTACACATAGAACATTTTAGAGATTTAGGGGAATGCATACTTATGGCTAAATTATGTCATGTTTTGATTATTGATAGTTATTTTTGTACCTTAAAATTAATGAAAATGTAAGATTAAAAGATGGGTCCTTTTAGGTTAATGGCATTTCTTACTATCCTGAGCGTATGTGCAGACTAGGAGGCAGATGGTGGCGGGAAGGCAGTGCTGAGCTGACCTGGGTTTTCTGTTGTCTACTTTGCAATGTGGGAGTGTTTATACCCCTGATTTGGTTTTCCACTGTCTGGTTTTAGAAGAATTCCTCGGCCTGGGAGTGCCAGGCCAGCGCCTCCCCGAGTGAAACGACAAGACAGCGCGGAGGTGTTAACAGCGGACAGGTGAGGCGCGCCCTAGCAGGAGGGGCAAGGGGCTTCTCCCGTGTGTGGACCTGGGGATCGATGGGAATCGGGCACATGCTGCAGGGGAAGGGTGGACTGGATGGTCCTGGGAAAGCTTGCTGTTGAGAAAAAGAAAAATCAGGTTAGACCCTCACCTGAAACCACACATGGCCTCACTTTTCAGATGGGTGAGAGAGAACACAGGCACTCCCACAGTTAAACCTTCACAACACGTGGGGAGGATGTTCGGGTGCATTTCTCTGACCTCTGGGTGGAGGGTTTTCTAAGCATAAACACAGTGAGGGGAAAAACAGGAAAAAAGATTTAAAGGTTTAATTGCACAGAAATAAAAAAAAACAGGTTATGAGCAAATCATCAACAATATAAAGGCCAGCGCCAGGTAGGGCTTTTGTAAGTTTACAACCTGCCAGTGGATGCAGTAGGATCTGTAAGGTACGGAAGTCAGCAGGCTGGGTCGGGTGTTTCAGATAGAGCAGGAGGGCGGACTTGGAAACGGCAGGTGTGGGCATTCACTCAGGTTTTGTTGCAAAGAGACAAAGAGAAGCAGAGGAAGGGCAGTAGGGAGTGGGAAGGAAGGCAGGGCCGAGGGAAGTTACTGGTTCTTGTTTTGAAGACGAGAGAATGAGCACATTTTTGGGTGACAGGATGGTCCTGTGGGGGCGGATTTGGTGGTGTGGGAGAAGCAGGCTGGGGTGTTGGAACAGAATCCCTGAGTGGGCAAGGGGGCGTGGAGAGTTAATATGTGGGTGAGATTCTGGGAGGTGAGTTCTCTCTGCCGCTCGGTTTTCCTCATTCACCAGGAGTCTGGGGAGGAGGAGCAGGAGGTCTCCACGAGAGGGGGCTGTATAGAGGTCCTCATCCAGGGGTCACCCCACCCCCGGGGATGTTGGGGCCATGTCTGGAGTGGTGACATGACTGGGAGGAGGCAGAGGGAAAGTTCTTAGCATCCAGTTGGGGGGTTTGGGGCCAGGGCTGCTGCTAAACATCCTACAGTGGAGAGGCAGCCCCCCACCAAGAGCGACAGCCCTTGTGCTGAGCTGCTCTCACATAACCTCGCACTCAGCTCCAGATGCACGGGGTGGATGAAAACATCATCAAGATTTCTAATTTAATCTGATTTCTTTGTATTCAGGACAGGAAGTGGTCAAACCGTCTCCAATGTGATTGTCGATGTGCAGAACTCTGAGAACGAAGAGGACGACCAGTTTGTGGTGGAGGCTGCGCCCCCTCTCTCTGAGGTGTCAGAACTCGAAGTGGTTAGTGCCCTGGCCTGGGGGTTTGGTAATGACACTTTCACTCCAGCGTTCAGATTGATGCAGACAGAACTTCCCTCTAATTTTTCAGTTAGTTTTCTACCCTAATTTCACCATTCCTCTGAGGAGATCCATGAAGGTAGGATTTTGAGAATTCAACAAACCCGAATCTCCTTTCTTCTCCTTCCTTTCCTGCTCAGGTACCCGCAGTAGAACTGGAGGAAGATGAGAAGCACGGTGAGTGCTGGTGTTGGTGTGGGCTGGAAGGATCCGACGCAGGAGTCCGACCAGCAGTAGATAGGGCTCCATGGGCACGGGTCCCTGTGAGGTTGGTGCTTTTTATTCTGGGAGATGATGGATGCTGCTCCCAACCTGGGGGACCCAGGGGCACCCCGACCCTGGAGGTCAGGTGTGAGCTGTTTTGTAGGTGACTCCTTTTCTTATCTGTGTGGTTACATTTGGAATTGCATGACCTCCAAGGTCATTCCCAGGTGGACAGTTCTGCAGTGTGATCTGCTTTATTTCATACACCTATGAAAGCAGAGAATAGGCTAGTGACCACTTGTCCCCATCACACAGCTCCCACAGTGAGGCTGATCTTGTTTTATTTCAGCCTCCACCCCCCCAACCCACTCCCCAGGCCCTTTGCAAGTCCCAGGGCATCATTTCTTCGGGAAACACACCGTACGTAGCTCTAAAAGATAAGGGCCCTTTAAAAAAAATATAGCCATAAATTCATTGCCACATGTACAAAAAAATTACTTAGTATCATCCATGCCTCTTTTTCCAGTTTTGTGTGTTTTTTCAGTTTGGCAGTCCAGACAAGGTCCCTGCATTACAGTTGATCTGACTGAAGTTTCCTTAACTCGGGGCCCTCCCACCCTTTTCCCTCATGATGTATTTATTGAAGCCGGTTGTCTGAATTTCTCATGCCGGGGTGCTGCTTATTATACCCTCTAGTATGCCTTTTTCCACATTCTTGTAACTTAGTTCTAGGGCAGTGGTTCTCAACTTTGGCTGCACATTAGAATCACCTAGGAATCTTTTTAAAATCCTGATTTATGGGCCTCATCCTCCAGAAATTCTGTTTCTTTGTTATGGGGTGGGGCCACAACATTAGTAACAAAGAAACAATTTCCAGAGGATAAGGCCCAGAAATCAGGATTTTAAAAGATTCCCAGATGATTCTAATGTGCAGCCAAGGTTGAGAACCACTGTTCTAGAGAGTTGATCAGATTCAGGTTTTTTTAAATTTTAAATATGTTTTTATTGATTTGAGAGAGAGAGAAAGGGAGAGGGAGAGAGAGAGAAACATCGATGTGAGAGAGCAGCACCCATCGGCTAGCTCCTGTACACCACCTACTGGGGACTGAGCCTGCAGCTGGGGCATGTGCCCTGACCAGGAATCAGACCTTCAATGCTCAACCACTGAGCCATGCTGCTGGGCTCTGCATTTCTTCTTCTTCTTTGGAAACAGAAGAGAAAATCTGTTTTATTTCTAAAGATTATTTTTCCCTTTCAAGGAGCTGATTTCTTTGAAACAATATGAAGCTGTAGAGTTTGTTTCCACCACCAGTTGTTGTATCAGTCTGATGCGGGCTATCTTTAGCAAATAAAGGTTATTGAAGCTGTTTTGAGTGTAGAAGGAGAAGAATAAGGACTTGGGTGTTCTTGCCAGCCCTCTGCCCAGTCAGAGTAGAGTAGCTTCAAAGGGCAGAGAACAACTGGAGCATACAGCCGCTGCTTCTCAACAGGAGGACTCGTCAAAAAAATTCTGGAGACAAAGAAAGATTATGAGAAGCTGCAGCTGCCACCCAAACCTGGAGAGAAGGTAATGGAATGTCTTGTAAATATCAGCATGTTAAGTGTCTGTTTCGTACATTTACTTGAAAAAACTAGAAGCACCGTTCTAACGTGGTTACACAGTAATGTCTGTTTATATGTAGAAAAGCGCCCCCTCCCTCGGTGGGGAGGGAAGACACTGTGGCTCTTGCAATGGCTGTCACCTCCCCGGACCTGGGTCACTTCTGCCCTGGGTGGGCAGCAGTCTCGCTTGGGGGCTCAGGAGTCAAGGGCCAAGGCCTGCTCTGCTCTGACTCCATGGCTCTCCCCTTCCTGCCTCGTCCATCCCTTCGTTGTGCAGAGTCAGGAGCAGGCCGCCTGGCGCTGGCTGATCGAGAGGCTAGGGGAACTTTCAAGTCTGGCTTTTAAATACAGGCTCCTGGTATCAGGCCTCCCAGCAGTCTTTCTCACAGTGTGTGATGAGGCTTTGTTGGGACCCACGGCCTCCTGCCTGCCACTGCTCCTTAGGCATGTGACCCTGGGGTGAACACCTGCAGGCCAGGCAGTGTGCCGCAAATGTCATGTCTAGGGTTCTGTTACATTCGCTTAAAAAAATAACAATAAATATTTATTGTGTGTTTTTTACAGAAAACAATTTCTTAGAAAGTTCGTTGTATCAGCAGCCACACTCCCATGTTTTACACATACTCACACATATATTGATTTAATGGTGGTTTTAGATAATTCTGCTTAAAATGACATGGTTTTGTCGTGGAGATGCGGCCTGAAATAGCCTACGAGAACCAAGCAGTGAGAATACCACCAGGGGGAGCCTTTAGATCAGTGGTTCTCAACCTTGGCTGCACATTAGAATCACCTGGGAATGTTTTTAAAATACTGATTTCTGGGCCTCATCCTCCAGAAATTCTGTTTCTTTGTCATGGGGTGGGGCCACAATATTAGTAACAAAGAAACAGAATTTCCTGAGGATGAGGCCCAGAAATCAGGATTTTAAAAAGATTCCCAGGTATTTCTACTGTGCAGCCGAGGTTGAGAACCACTGCTTTAGATGCTCAGAGGAGAAACACGTAAGAGCACTGTTGGCTCCCCTGAAGGAGGCCGACCTTCTGGCCTGCTGTGTGTGGCTGTGGAATTCAGTCTCTCAGAGTCCTTTCCACAGGCCAGGCATTGCCCTGCCATTCCTCGCTTTCCCCCCAGCCCAGGGGAGGGGCCTGCCTGCAGGCTGGGACTGGAGTGGTCAGCCTTCGTAATTTGTTGTGGTCCTACTTTGCGTTTTTTCTGTGGCTGAGGATCCTGCCGTCCGGCGGCTGGCTCCTGCTCCTCTCACTCAGTGCTGTTGAAGTCCTGAGGTGGCTGGCTGCCCTCTTCTCTCAAACTGGTCCTTTCTGTCCCTTTTACCAAGTCAGCTTCCTTAGTGGGTAATTCTGTTTTCCTATTTCCTTTTTAGTTTCTTTTGGTAATTAGTATTTGAATCAGGGTCAAGTTGACCTACGAGTGAAGGAAAGATCCGGAACAGTAGTGGCTTACGTGAGGTAGAAAGTGCTTTAGCTCGTGTGCCAGAGCCTGGAGTGGCAGTGACGCAGACGCCTTCCACCTCTTTCCTCCTGACCTCCAGGCTCTGGGCACCTCCTGGGCCCAGATGGCTGCCCAGTTCCAGCCTTCGGGACTGCATTCCAGCCAGAAGGAAGGAGGAAAAGGGAAGTAGGAGAAGGGCACACCCCTTCTCACTCAGGCTATTGTTTGGGAGTTGTGCACACCACGTCCACTTACATTATGTTGGCCACATTTTTGTCACTGAGGGAACCATGAAGTGACATTTTTATTGCAGGCATCAGTTTGCTTGGCTAACCATCAAGGGTTCCATTAACACAGACTAGAACTTGCCAGGTTTCCTCACTGCCTGGCACACTCAGAAATGATAATATTTGCAAGGCACATGGGTCAGTGGAGGAGGCTGCCTGCCTGGCTGGGGCCGAGGATTTCTGGAACTAGCACGTCTACTATGTGGCTGCTCTCAGTGGCAGGAAGCTTGTCAGAGATCAGAAACGGGGTTGACCGGCAGTCTCTCTACGGCGCTTCTCCAGGAAGTTGTTCGTTTCATTCATGTTTTCCAAAGTCATGGCAAGAACATGTTTGACGTATACTTTATGATTTAAAAATATATCTATAGTTACAGTTTTCCTTTCCTTCTGGAAATGTCATCTTTTTTTTTTTTTTTTCCCTTGAGGAGACTTTTGTAAAACTGCTGAAGTAGGCACTCCCTAGCAAAGAATTAACTTTGGTTTTGTAGATACTCACTTTTGTATTGTTTTCATTTCAGTGATTTCTGCTCTTTTTTCTTTTAATTTCTTTTTAAAAAATATATTTTTATTGATTTCAGAGAGGAAAGAAGAGGGAGAGAGAGATAGAAACATCAGTGATGAGAGAGAATCATTGATCGGCTGCCTTCTGCATGTCCCCTACTGGGGATAGAGCTCACAACCCAGGCATGTGCCCTTGACCGGAATCGAACCCGGGACCCTTCAGTCCGCAGGCCAACGCACTATCCACTGAGCCAAACCAGCTAAGGCCCTTTTAATTTCTTTACGCATTTACTTTTTCTAGCCTCTTGTGTAAAACTTAGCTCATTTATTTTTAGTTTTTGTCATTTTAAAAATTAATATAGTCACGACTATACATTTCTCTTTAAGCATGCTTTAACCTTGAATTTTAAATTTCTTAAATAACAAATTAATATTAAATTTTCTTAAATTTTAATATGAAGTCCTTTGTTGTTATTTCTTTTAGACATGTAGACTACTTAGAAGTCTGTTCTTAAGCTTTCAAATATAAGACTTTCAAAAGTTTTTTTTTTTAAGTCTTTTTTCTTTTTAAATCCTCACCCAAGGACATGTTCATTGATTTTTTTAGAGAGAGAAACACTGATTGGTTGCCTCCTGACCAGGGCTGGTCATCAAACCTGCAATCCGGCATGTGCCCTGACTGGGAATCGAACCTGAGACCTTTTGGTGCATGGGACGATGCTCCAGTTAACTGAGCCACACGACCAGAGCTGAAAAGTCTTTTTATTGACAGTACCTCACATAATGGCACATTCAGAGAACATGGTCTACATGATATTGATTATTTGGAAGTGAGCCTTTCTTCTTGGCCTGGCTGTGATCGGTGTTTGTAAAAGCGTAGAGTGCTCCCACAGTTCTTCCTTCTACATTTTGGGGCTGGGCTTCAGTACACCCTGTGGACTACCTGGGGAGGTGATTGTAATGTACTCAGTCCTGTGGGCTGTAGTTGCCTGTTATTATTGATTTATACAAATTAATCATAATATTACTTGCATATCTGCTATCTCTAAAAATTCAAATACTAGTCCTGGGTGGTGTACTCAGTGGTTAGAGCATTGCCCCATACACTGAAGGGTCTCGGTTTTGATTCCAGTCAAGGGCATGTACCTGGATTGCAGGTTCAATCCCCAGCCCTAGTAGGGGTGCATGTCAGAGGCAACCAATCCATGTATCTCTCTAACATAGATGTTTCTCTCTCTCTCCTCCCCTTCCCTACCATTCTCTCTAAAAGTGATTGGAAAAATATCCTCGGGTGAGGATTAACAACAACACAACAAATTCAAATATTAGGTGTTTTCTCTGCTTTTCACATATAAGTAATAGTGTGCCCTTAGTCTTAGTACTTTTTACTTTTTTTGGAGGGAGCTTTTTTTTTTTCAATGCTAAGGAAATACATATTTGTAATCTGGGCATCTCTCCAGCCTGTCTTTGAAGTTTTGTTGGAAGAAAAGCCATTTCTTAGTGTACTAATGGATTGAATAATATATTATAAAATAAATATGTGAATCAGACTGCTTTGAGCATTTTTTTCATTATCCTGACTTATTTGTTCCCTTTTCAAGAGGAAATATTAAACTTTGCTAATAGTAAGATATTAGTTCATGCCAACATTTTTTCTTCAGATTTATGAAGTTTTTGAAAAACAACCAGAAAAGCACTTTTATTAGTGTTAGTTATACTTTAAAAATACTTGTGTTTTAAACTTTGTAAATGAAGATGCTTCGAAATAATAACCAGTGATTTCAGAGGTGGTTAACTCACTTTTGGGGACTGTGTGAAGACTGTTCTCTTCTGATTTTTCAGTCTTTTTTTCATGTTATATCTATTTTAATTGAATGTAAGTTTCATACTTTCTTTTCTTTTAAAGTTTTTGTTGTTGTTAATTCTCACCTGAGGATATTGCTTTTCAGGAGAGTGGAAGGGAGGGGGGAGGAGAAGGAAAGAGAGAAACATTGATGTGAGAGAGAGACATTGACTAGTTGCCTCTGCTATGTACCCTGAGAGGAGTGAACCCACAACCCAGGTTAGTGACTGGAATCTAACCTGGGACCCTTTAGTCCGAAGGCCAACAATACTCTATCCACTGAGCCAAACTGGCTAGGGCAAAGTATGTCCAGTTTGATTGACTTTGACAGCCCAAGTCTGTAGCTGTAAATTCAGTTACTAAGTAGTGTAGACCTGGTATTTAAATATATTAACTGTGACACATTAAGGAATGTGTGAGGAGTTGACATCACATTAGCCACAGGATGAAAATCAGTGGATAGAACTGGAATTCAGGTTGGGTTTAGTCAGGCTGAGTGTAACGTGAGTGAAGCTTGGGAAAGTGCAGGTGGTCGGGAAAGCAGTCGTTGGGAAAACAGCAGGGACCTGGTCCCATGGTACAGAAGCTGGAGCTGCCCGGTGACCTTGGGTCCAGCACCGGAAGACTAGCCCTCAGTAGTTTGGAGAGGTCTGAGGACAAAGTCCTTCAAACTACTGAGATTCGTCTTTGTTAGGAGGTGTAACGGACATTTCCCACGAGGCTTCTAGGGTCAGGGCACAGTGAGGAGGGGCCATGATCTCGGTGACCCCACAGAATCTGCTGGGTGGAGCTTTTTGCCCCTGCAGTGCAGCTGTCCTGACTGCAGGCCCTGGCAGTGGGGGCCCGGCTTAGCTCTCTGGCTCTGGTTTTCTGCCACAACTT